AAATCCACTCAAGCGTAAGAATGGACGCTCAAGCAAGGACACTAAAACACGTGTTCTAAACCAGGGTTCACACTCAAGCATAAAATCACACCACGCAATATTTTTTCAGACAAGCCAAAGTACTGTGATGGTGGAAACTCTGGTCGAGCGCCACGTTCCATGATCGAGCGAGAAGACCAAAAATAGAAGAAAATTACAACTCAATGAAATCCAAGTTTGTTCACGGAATTGACAATAAGTAGGGTCTTAACAATATAATAAAATTATTGTTTTAAGTTTTGGTTTTGTTTTGATGTTAAGAGTTTGGTTTTTAGATTATATTTTATTTCTAATTTAAAAGTTTCAAGTATTAGTATTTATTAATTTTTTTATTTGTATTTTTGTGAATGGTTGGATTGGATATGATTAAAATTGTGTACAAATGGCTAATTTAATATTTTTATATAAATTATTTATTATATTACAAATTTTAAAAATGACTTATTTTGAAAGTACTTAAACCAATTAAAACACATTGAGCAGAACCATTTGAATCGGTGTGGTTTGATAAAAAATAAAAATAAAAAAATTTGGTCTGTATTGATTTTTAATTTAATAAAACCGACATTATCTATTTTGTGCAAAATTTCAGCTGAACACCGACCATCTCAAGCCGATTACATCCCTAGCAATGAATAAAAGAGATTATTTGCTAATGATTTAAAAAGATATGAGAGAGAATTGTCATGATTATTCTAATAGACTACCATGTCATTGGGATTAAAATAAATCTAACTTTTGGATTAGAGCAACACTGCAATTCCTACCACTTTGATATAATTTTTCTCAAATCAAAAGGTGATAATTATTTAACTTTAAAATATTTTTTTTTTCAATTTATCCTAACTATTTCTTTCTTATAAACTACAAGAAAAGCTACATTAAACAATTGCATACAGACTTAAAAAAAAAAACAAAAACAAAAAACTAGTACCAAAACAATTTGGTACAAACTTAATAAAATGTACCAGTCAAGGTTCCATCCATAGATCATTTTAGAAAAAACAAACAAACAAAACTTCCACCATATGCAAGGCATGGATAAAATAACCAAAATTTAATGATTACAACAGAATTGAACTTTTAAAAAAAAAAATCAATTTCATATTCTTTCTGATTCAACATCCTATGTCCGACTCAGACTAGTCCAATCCAGTCCAAGCTCATGCCCATAAACCCCAACGGGCTAATGGCGAAAAATTAAATAACTTGTAAGTCTTTACACTTTTTTAATGCACCAAAAAGTTGTAAAATACTTATTGTGTCCCAACATTTTGTGAAAATATTAATAGATAAAAAAAAGAAGCAAAAATTATAAGTAAATAAATATAGTCAATAGGACTGGCCGTAAGTCTACCTAAATTAAGATAAAACGTGGGCTTCTTAAATTTTCTTTATTTTATTTACTTTGCAGGACGGCCCAAACCAATAATCTGTTAGAAGTGGCCTATGGACCAGCTTGCTACCCATTCTGCGAGCCTTATAGAAAGTAGGCCCAAACATTAATCTTTTGGGCTTAACGCTTGGCCCAACTTCGCTTACCCGTCAGGCTCAAGCCCAACAAACCTTGGATTGACCTGTCAGAAAAAGCCTGCTGATAAATTAAGACAAAATGGAATTCAAAAAATAATTGTAATTCAAGCCTTGTATGTTACATTTAAAATACAAAAAATTAAAATGAAATACAAATAATAGTTTTAAGGCCAAAATTTTGGAGAAAATATTAATTCAACGTATGTTTAAAAAAACTCAAATTAATGATAAATTTTATAAATATTAATAATTAAAAGATTAAATTTTTTTTATGAATCTATAATCAGTTTATGAAATTCTGAAATTTTACCTTGTATTTTTTTGAACACTTTTCAAAATACTTGCTTAGCATTAGTAAAGAATAAATAGACAGAACTTAATAAGGAAATAAATAGAAAGTCAATAGATGTCTACATATTAATGGTTGGAAATGACCCTTCTTAGGGCACCTAACTGTTGAGGGAGAAACTGCATTAATAGGGACAGGTATCTATATTTTAATTGGTCCAAAATAGTGATTTTTATATTAAAAATTATATTATTTTTCACTAATTAAAAAATATATATATATCATTCACATCGTCTTTAAAATATTGTGAACAAAATCCAAACAGCATACACTTTCTTCATTTTGAACTTGTTTAATTTTAAAGGTAAAGCAACCCAACCCAACTAACAGTTCACTTACCAACGAAAGCTTACCTCCCAACCTAATCTTCACAATTCAACATCATATAATATACACTTTCTTCAAATAAACAAAAACCAGGTGGGTCACATTTTATTTTTATTTTGGGATAAAATTGGATGGGAATGAGATTATTATTGATAATTATAAGAATAAGTTATTAAACGAGATAGATGGTTGGATCTATGAAAGAATTATTGATGGTAATTATGAAAATTTTTACTGTGGAATAAAAAAAGTGGCAGTATAAAGGGATAAAATGAAAGAGTGAAACAATTTGGACAGGCATAATGCCTTAATGCAACATTTCTCTTAGCTATTTTGTACTACAAAATCCTAGAAACGCATTCCATCAAACTTAATTCTTAGCTAGTTATACTTTAATTGAATATCAAACCAGTAACTACATGTAATTAGAGAAAAATGATTCGACAAACGAAATAAAAAATCGAGAGTTTGTTGAAGAATGTATTTGAAAAGATGATTGATTAAATTAAAATAAAAAATTGACTTTTAATTAAAATTTAACTAAAAATTTGACTATTTCGATGGAGATGCTTACCACAATTCTTATAGTAATATTTAATTCTTTCTTTTTTGCCGTTTAATCTCTATACCATTTAATAAGGGACGAAAATTGTCCCTTATTCACCTCTATAGTCTAACATATCAAACATGGGATCATTTTTTTAGGCAAAACCCAACTGTCTTCTCACCCCTTATTCCCCAATTAGTCCTGTAACCAAACTTATCTTTGGGCCTCTACCAAATTTTCAAAGGGCTATTTTTACGTTTAAATGATATTTATTAATTTTCTATTTTAAAACATGCATATTCTTTGCATATCTTTTCTAGTAATTAAGGGAAAAAAAATGGTATTAAGATCTGGTTAATTGCCTATGCCATTGTGCAACTTTTGAACAAAGAGGTTTTATTTCCTCCTTTTGTTGGACTTTTTGGACAAGAAGTGTAATAGTATTTATTATTGGGCTCATGAACTAGAAGAGTTTTTTTTATTTTGTTGGGGTTTTTTTTATTCCTGGGACTTTGGGTAAATAGTTTATTTATTTATTGTTATTGTAAAGCCCTTAGAAAATTTTTTGTTCAACCAAACTTTTTGTCAAGTATAAAGAGTATAAAAACTCGATTCTAAATAGGTTATTTTAGCCACAAAAGATAAAATAGATTATTTTAGCCACAACAAATAAAACATCACATTCAACCCATAATCATTACACTCTTCTCTCACAAAAAAAGTTTAAAAAGTTAAAAAGTCAAAAAGCCCGTCAATCTTTTTAGCCCAGGCTAAAATAGCCAAAAAATTCAAAAAGCTAAAAAGCCAACTCACTTTCCAAACGGAGGCTAAATTTGTTCACATAGGCTCCAGTTCCACTTAAAAGGGATGGGACTCTGTTTGGCAAGTTGATTTTCATGTTTTTTTGGCTATTTTAGCCACAAAAAATAAAATAGGTTATTTTAGCCATAACAAATAAAACATCACATCCAACCTATAATCATTACATTCTTCTCTCACAAAAAAGTCAATAAAGTCAAAAAGCCAAAAAGCCCTTCCCAAACCAAGCTTTTTAGCCCAGGCTAAAATAGCCAAAAAAGCCAAAAAGCCAAAAAGCCAACCTACTTCCCAAACCAAGCCATTATCTACGCTGGACTTATTACGAGTTTTATTTTGATAATTTGAATTATTTATTTATTAAATTTTTGTGATATATTATTTATAAAAAAAAATGATTCATTCATATAATTTTTTTTCTCCACAATTTCCTTAATGACATGACAAATAAAATTTGAAAAGTTGACCCACATTCAAATATTCCCTCAAAACTCTCTTTACATGTATTTTGTCTTCCTTACCTCATTACGGAAATTGTGGGGAAAAAAATTGTGTGAATGTAACATTGTTGTTAAAAAAATTAAGTTGACTCGATAATTGTAACATAATTTTTTTGTCACATTTGTTTTTTAAAAAAAAATTAAGAGTAAATTATCAATAAGTCATATTTTTTAGACTTATTACCCATTAATGGTCTATTTTAAAAAACAAAGTTACCGTTCAATTTTTTAAACACCAAATATGATGAAAAGAAAATGCTACATTATCATATCAACCTTTTTTTTTTTTTTTTATGAACGATATACACAAAGAGTCTTAAAAAGTGAATAATTCGAATTATCAAAACAGAACTTGTGATGACCCTTACAAATTCTGACAACGTCTTGTCAATCCAGATTTAGACTAGAGAGAATCCCAACTCCATTCAAAATTATAGGGTCCACTATTTTGTATTAATAAAATTTTATATTTTATTCAGACTTTCAAAGTACATAAACAAAATGGCAAGCAATGTTAGTGACCTATCAAAAATTCTACGCCATATTCACATTTATCCATTTGAATATTGTATAAAATTTTTAAAAATACTAAAGACCTCAAATGAATTACTAAATACTTTACACAATAATTACCAAATATCTACACAATACTCATAGAAATGTAAAACCCACATAAATTACACATTCATACAAGTATTGTGTGAAATATTTAGACCTAACTTAAAAAGATAGGATTATACTTAAAAAATCACTATAAATTATTACATTATTCTCTTTTACTTTTACACGTCCTTTTATAAAAAAAAATAGAAACTCAATTATTGGGAACTCCAAAACGGACCTTCTAACTCATTTGGAGTTGTCACATATTTTCATATAAAGGGGTGGGAGGGGTGACATCTTTCTCCCACTATCAATAGAGAGAGAGGAGAGAGATTGGCAGCGATGGAGAAAAGCAAAGTGTTGATAGTAGGGGGAACGGGGTATTTGGGAAGGAGGTTGGTGAAGGCAAGTTTAGCAGAGGGACACAAAACATATGTCCTCCATCGACCTGAGATTGGCGTGGACATTGACAAAGCTCAATTGTTGTTGTCTTTTAAGGATCAAGGTGCTAACCTCGTACATGGTTCATTCAATGATCATCACAGCCTCCTCAATGCTGTCAAAATGGTGGATGTTGTCATTTGTGCCATTTCTGGTGTCCACATTCGCAGCCACCAGATACTGCTTCAACTCAAACTTGTCGATGCAATCAAGGAGGCTGGAAATGTTAAGGTAATTATTGTATGAAATCGACCACAAGATAAAACTAAGGTTTTAAATATTGACTGTAGTGAATATTTTAACAAAAATAAATTTTATTTAATATATCAGTTATGGAGTTTTATTTCAAAATCAATACAAATCTTAATTTAGCATTTCTGGAGATTTATTACATAATAATTTTATTCATTATATGTATTAATATATATAAGTACCTGTTTTATTCTTAGTGAGGATTAATACCATACCATTAATTATGTTTTTCCTATATATATTTTTACTTCTCTATCCAATTTTGTTAGAGAACTCTACATTTTATATTGATATTTTTGGTGATCATGAACACTAGATGAGAGATGTTGGCCTTGTTTGGTTTGTGTTTCTCAAAAAATTTTGGGAAAAATTCTCTACAAATAAGTTTTCAAAAGTAATCAAACTAAACAAATTTTCCCAAATTTTTTTTTCAAAACTTGTTTGGTTTACAAGTTTTCCAAACAAATCTCTCTCTCATACACATCAAATCAATCACTTTTTCCAAAACTTTCTCTCAAAATAATTTTTCAAAACATCTTTTGAAAAAAAAACCAAACCAAACAAATTTTCGTACTTTTTATCTCAAAACATGTTTTTCAAATACAAACCAAACAATGTCTCGCAACTATGTTTTTCTACTACTGATTTTGTCTATATATATTGTTTATTGTCATTGTCATTATATTATTCATGATAATTATTCTATTTATTTTATTACTAGACTAACAGATATGTATTGTATTGGCTTTTACATATTGAAGTTTTCGATTTTCAATACTCTTATTACTCATCAATATATTACATGACACTATAAAAAAAATTAAGGTTTTGGAGACCAAAATTTAGGGGCAAAATTATCTTTTAGGGAGTAAATATTTTTGTTGCGAAAAATGTCGTTATTATATTTTTAGCAACGAAAATTGGATATTAGTGATGAATTATTGTCTATTTGGGAAATTGGAAATTGGAAATTGGATAATAGAAATTAGTTCCTAAATGTTTTTTGCAACAAAAATTTCACTTTTAGATATCAAAACATTTTGTCTCTAAAACTTTTATATGTTATAGTGTGATGGCCAAACTATCCAACAACTAATTTGTACCTTGTTGTGTACATAAGAATAAAATAAAATGAAAAACGTTATATTTATAGTACTAATAATGAGATATTTGGTTATGTATTAACTTAGAAACTTATTAGAGTTTTTAGTTGAGGATAAGAATCTCATTATATATATATATTTTTTTTATCATAGTAAAATACGTCAGCAAAATATACAATTTAACGGCTCAAGTTTAAAATTGATAGAAAATGACAAATATTAGGAAAACATGACAACCACTAGTGCAAAACATTGTTAAATCACTTCACTACTTGTGCTTTGTTGTTTCTTTTACTATGCATTTGGAGAATTCATAAATTTTAATTTGGGGTATGTATAATGTAGAGATTTTTGCCATCTGAGTTCGGAACTGATCCAGCAACAATGAAGAATGCAATGGAACCAGGAAGGGTTACATTTGATGACAAAATGGTAGTAAGAAAAGCGATCCAAGATGCCGGAATACCTTACACCTATGTCTCTGCAAACTGCTTTGCTGCCTACTTTCTCGGCGGCCTTTGCCAGCCAGGAAAAATTTTCCCTTCAAGGGATCATGTGGTCTTGTTGGGAGATGGCAACCCAAAAGGTACTTCATCTTCACAATTTTTTTTTTTTTGTGTTTTTGTGTGTTTGTGTTTTTGATAATGTTTTTTAAATGTCGCATAGATGTTGATTTTGAAATAATGAACAATGTTATACTACAGGATACCTAATATTACTTTTTATTCGAAAATATGAGATCATCATCAATTCAAGTGTAAAAATGACTTGTGTGATATTTAAAATGCATTTTACATTGGAATTTTGACCTGTTGGAATTAGACCATGGGCCAACTCGCTAGACCGTCTAAATTTTTCTGCCCTAAACTGACCTGACCCATAAAAAAAAGCACGGCAAGCCTAACCCACATACTGATTTGAACATTAATTTTGCAGACTAGCCTAATAACCCTTATATCCCAATAAGGGAAATTTGGCCATAAATCCCTCTTAACTTGTTTTTCTTGTTAAAAAAATAGAAAAAATTTAGTACTTTCAAAACTCCCTTATAATTATAAAATTCTGTATAACGGACAAAATTTGTTATTTGAATATTTTATTTGACCATTATACCCTCTTTTTCTTCCATTTCTTTTACAGCACTCTCTCTCTCTCTCTCTCTCTCTCTCTTTTCACCGCTCGATGGTTGTTCATTGTCTCCACCATCTTCATCGTCTATCAACATCGCTCATCCTCATCATCGGCCGGCAACCACCATTTTTACCGTTAAACTACCACCATCTCAAATTTGATACTTATGAACTCATATTTGAGATCAATAACTTCAAATCAAAGATATAAAAATAAAAAATAAAATTAAAAAAAAACACTTAGAATTGACAGAAAAATGAGAAATCGAGATATTGAATGGAAAATTAAGAGTTTTTTTTATTATTTGTTCATAAATCTAAAAGTAAAATTTGACTCTAGTTTGTTCATTTAATGTGTACTATGTTTTTGTAATAGTAAAAATTTACTTTGGTTAACAATACTGATCTGCTTAATAACAATAAAATTTTACTTTGATTCAGAGTAAAATTTTATTCTCTCTTTTTTTTTCTTTTTTTTTAATTACAATATAAAATTTTACTCTGAATCAGAGTAAAGCTTATTATAATTCAAAGTAAAATTTTACTCTAAAACAAGCTGCGAAGATGGTTTTACAGAAAAGTTTTGTGTCATGAATTAGAGTAAAATTTTACTGTTGAAAGAGTGATAGAGAGACAAAGTTCGAAAACAGAGGATCAACATAAGAAGAAGAAAAAGAATAAGAAGAAGAAGAGAGAGAGAGAGAGCAAGAACCATCAAAACCAGAGAGAGAGTGATGGATTTCAGATTTGAGGTTTGCGAACCGTCACAAATCGCCATTTTTTGGTTACAGCAGTTGTGAATGATCTCAGATCTGAAGTTATGGATGCAACAAATGATGGTGGTGATGAAGACAGTAGAGAAAAAGTTCCATGGTGAGCGACGGTCGTGCCGATGGAGAGCAGCGATGGCACCAGTGAAGAGAATAGTAATAAGTACGAGACAGAGAGAAGAGAGATTGAGATAAGAGAGAGTGATTACAAGTTGATATATACACACACACATATATATATATATATATGAGGGTATTATAGTAAAATAAATAAGTTTTAAAATACTAGGAGGTTTCTTGTCCTTTTGACAGACAAGTTAGACACTGAGGGGTCTATCACCAAATCCCCCTATCAATAATCAATGTCTTTGTATGGCAAATTTGAAATTGTAAATGCTTATATCATGGTGTGATAGGATTCAAAGTGCTCGTACATATGAATTAATCTTTCAGGTTTTCTCTTCTCTTATAATAAAAGCTTGCAAGTAACGCCTAATATTTTTGTCACCCTTGGCAGCAATATATGTTGATGAAGATGATATTGCAAAGTACACTATAAGAACGATAGACGATCCACGGACTCTAAATAAGACACTGTACTTGAGACCACCTGAAAACATCCTGTCTCAAAGAGAAGTTGTTCAAATATGGGAGAAGCTAATTGGGAAAGAGCTTCAAAAGTCATCTCTGTCCAAGGATGATTTTTTAGCTCTCATGAAAGGTTAGTTTGATTATCACTTTTGTCTGCTAAATTTCTCACCCAAAAAAAAATATATGTATATATATTATTGATCTAGATCAACAAAGTACAACAAACATACACCAAATTTTAAAAAGAAAAAAAAAATCTAAGATCTCAATTAATCTGACACACGTACTCAGACAATCATGTGTATATCCCAGATCAAAAAGAAGGCAACAATATTTTAAAGAAGAAATATAGCTATAGTCATACACTTTATTTACAATATTTTTTATTGACCAAATATCATCATAGGCTCACTCTTATTACAAGTAGGTGGTAGGAAATGTTGTAAAAAATGTGTGGCTATAATCTTTAGTCATCCAAAAGCGTTGAGTTCTTATATGAAAATACAAATTATAGGAAAACTCAATCACTTTTTTGAAATGCCAAACAAACCTTCATTTCAAATATATGGCTCATTACTAATTCATTTATCTCTCTTTTTGTTTTTTAAGGACAAGATTATGCAGAGCAAGTTGGGTTAACACATTACTACCATATTTGCTATGAAGGATGTCTCACAAGCTTTGAAATTGGAGCTGAGGGAGAGGAGGCCTCTAAGCTTTATCCCCAAATCAAATATACAAAAGTGGATGAATACCTCAAACGATATCTCTAAAATGAAGAGAATTTTAATCTAATGTGCAATTTAATTAAGTTTTAATAACTACAAACTCGTATTTGGCTTGTATGGAATTGCTCTTACTAAATATTGAAGTTTTCTTTTGATTTAGTTCGTGTCATTTTGATACAAATACATTCAATTCATTTTGGAAAAGTGTTCCTTTGTATTAGTGGGTAAGAAATATTCCAATTAATTTTAAGTTAGCATCAATGGTTTTTGTTTATAAGGTTTTTATAGAAGTATGATTTAAATATTCCCCAAACTATGTTTAGTTTGAGGATGGGATAAGGTATGAAACGAAGAAAGACAATTTCTTCATTTTGTAATGAAATTCTTTATCTCATGATCAATTATCCCACCTCTCCAACAGTAAAATTATCTTGCGTAAAAATAGAAAAAAAATTAAATAAATTATCCCAAGTTACAAAATGTGAACTAAATGCGAAATAATTTCATCCTAAAACAAAATAATCATATTCCGCTCCATTATCCACAAACAAAATATGGCCTAAGACCATCTTCAATAGTGTTTGCTAAAATAGCATTGTCATTCCTATAATTTGGTAATGAATAGTGTTATTTTGTCAAATTATAACAACGGTGCTCCAATGGTCACATGCTATTTTGGTAATGCGTTGCTTAAATGTCTTCAATTGTATGCTCATTTTTTGGACTTCAGCTTCAACGACTTGATTTCTCCGAAATAATTCTTTTGCAGCTTTCCTACCCATAGGGCTTTTACCCCTTGCAGAGACACTACCCTTACCGATTGGATTATTACCAACAGTTGGATTATTACCAACAGTTGGACTATTGTCGTCTTCAAGAGAAATGTAGTTATCCATAGGGGAATCGAGGGCTAAATTAGGAGAAAACGGTGTATGTATCCTTAACTTCACCGTGTTCGTAGAAGTTATATCTTGCCACCTGATATTGTTTTGGAAGATTGGCCAACAATGTTCAAAAGTAAAATGCTTGTTTTCATCGTAATGGAATAACAGTTTTTCTTGAAGCATCCGTATCAATAAAATATTAAATTAATTAATTAGTTAATTTTTATATAAGACAAAATAAAAAAACAAACATAATAAATGAAGTTGAAATCTTACTATATCAACTTGTGACATCCCACTTGGATGTAGATTTTCGACTTGCAGTAGACACTCACGAAATTTGTTGTAACATTTCATGAGTGATCATTCTATAGCAAGCAATAATTTTCAAAAATTCTTCTCCAAAAATGAGCATGAGATTATGAATTCCCAACAATTAGGTCTTCAGTAATGTGACACCAAGCTCTATAAATTGCCACATCTTCTTGAGTGGTAAATGATTTTCCTCTCTTTGTTTTTTATAAACCTTCCATAGTGATTGTGTGAAAAATCTAAGAATAAAATAATTTGTGAGGTTTGCTGTAAAATGAAATTGAAATAAAGAAATGTGAAAAGAAAAATAAAATTTGAAATGTTTGGTGTGAAATGAAATTGAGATTGAGGGTTTCTATTTATAGAAATACAAAATATGACCGCTTGCAGAAAATGACTGTTAATTTATAACTGCTGTTTGTATTATTATTATTTATTTTTTTCTTTCAGATAAAAAGAGCACAACGGCTCTTTTGCATTTCCAAATATCTGATCACCACCATCCATATGCCAAGGATCCAACGGTTGAGATTCATGATCTACAATCATCCAACCTAAAAGTGAAGTCTGTCTTCACTCTCCCTCTCACTCTCACCCTCTCTCCGAAGATCCACCAAGCTTTCTTCCTCTATCTCCCTTTCAGTCTCACTCTTCCTCTCACTCTCTATCTCTCTCTGAAGACCCACCAAGCTTTCCTCTTCCATCTCCTTCTCTCTCTCTCTCTCCCTCCCTCTGAAGACCCACCAATCAGCTCTTATACTTTTCATATCTTCTATTCTAGTAAGAACACACTAGATTCCTATTTAAAAATATTTACAAATTCACTTTTGATATGAGCAATTAATAATTAAAACTATATAAGAAAAAATATTGTCTTAAATATCTTAATTAATTGTTACATTATTAGACTTGAAAATTAGATCTAATTTTTAAACTTATATAATAATACCCTTCTCTCTTGTATATATGAATAATTATAGATACTCACCCTTATCTATCCCGAATTTACTCCAAATGAAGTTGACAAGTCACATCAATTTTTCTGATGTGACTTGCCAGTAAATCTCAACCACACAATGTAGCACTCTAGGAAACTTTAGGAAAATTTCACTCTAGAGGATCCTTAGTGTCTCTCTCTTGTATATATGAATAATTATAGATACTCACCCTTATCTATCCCGAATTTACTCCAAATGAAGTTGTGCAGTTGTGATTAAATCTATGTGACGTAAGATCTATGCGTAGAATGAATTTGAATTACAAGATGATAATTCTGAATAAATTCAAGATAGATAAATGTATGGGAAAGAAATACGCCTTCTCGTATAATCCTGTTGACCAAGTCCACGCTCCTTCGTACGACGTCGCTTTGTCACCTGAAAACACAAACGTGAGCTAGCCGGCGGGTGTGTGCCGGAAACCTCTCCGATGCCTAAGTCAGAAAACTTGACAAATAGACAAAGCTCTAAGTTCTCAGAAAGATTGTGTTCAATTACCTCCTCCAAGGTGTTGCTTGTGAGCTTTTATAAGTTTCATGTGGCACAATCCTAGTAGGACTTGTACTTCTCCATGCAGAGTCCTCCTAGGATTCATACTCCTAAGGATAATGCTTATCCTTTTACACCCCCCTACTGCTTAAACCAAGTGGGATGGTTTTCATCATGGCCGAACTATCATTTTTGACCGAAGTAAAGCTGGCAATGCTGAGCCACAAAGCAGGCCAAAATACCTTAGTTCGGTTCTGCTTTTACTCCTCCTTACCTCGGCTCTCTCCTGTCAACCCATGGCACGGTTGGACCAAGCTTAACAAATTGCGACCGGTATGACTCCTAGGTTGGTCTAACTCAAAGGTATCGCCAGACCGACCTTATTCGGGAGACATCACGACCGGACCGGAGTAGCTATACATCTTCTTGAACCGAAATAATTATACCTCTCCTGAGCCAGAGTAACTATACCTCTACTGGGCCGAAATAACATTACGGCTCTTTACCGAGTCCTTCACACTTTGAGCCACAGAGCCCAACTCACAGCTCGGCCCAATTTTTCCCAAAAATTACCCTCTCGATAAAGATAAATTTGTAATATTACTCTATATACATTTCTTCATTTGTTCTATTGTCTTTTTTTAAATTGATTTTCTGTTTAAATTGACATAATTAATATGTAATAATCATGTCATCTTTAATGGTTGTTAAGCCAACTACTAATGCTATACTTTTCAGGAAAATTATCATATCTTCTAGAAAGAAGAGCAAAATCTCTGTGATATGCATTTTCGTTATTTGTTTTCTTATTGGATAAATTGTTGTGTCTGAAATTGACATTAACGTCTTATAATTATATTATCATCAAATCAAATGTACACAAATTCAAACTCTAATTAAAATCTAATTCGACAAACAGCTACGTGTGATGGGGCAACCACACCACATTATTTAGGAAGATAGTAAAAATCATCCTTCAACTTTTTATTCATTTTGAATTATATCATTTTTTACATTTTTTTACATATTTTACGGAAAAAAAAAATTAAAAAATCAACTTTTAACCATATTTACAAAACAACCCTTAATCATATATGCTCAATTATAAATAAAAAAAGCAAATTAGTTTAATAATTATAAACACGCTCTTTTATCACATCAAAAAAAAAGAGTATGATAGTATGATTTTAAAAATAAATTAATTATTTTTTAAATAATTATGATAAAATTATGGGATTATAATTATTAGATCAAAAATTATTCACTCTGTTTGGTTTCAGTTTTCAGAATTTGCTTTTCAGAAAATTTTATTTTTTTATTTTTCTTATTTTTTTGTTTTCACTGAATTTTTTTAATAATTTAATCAATTTTTTTAATTTTTAGACACACCTAACATAAATATGCTTAAAAAGTATAATAATTGTGAAAAAAAAATCTTAAAAAAATTCACTAAATACTAAAAATATAAAAATTCAATACTTTTTTCGTATTTTTGTGTATTTATCAATTTTTTAAAATATTTTTTCACAAATATTTTACTATTTAGATACATCTAAGTAAGATGCATCTAAAACAATAAAAAAATGTTTAAAATTTTAAAAATATTTACTAAAAATAAAAATAAAAACACAAAAAATAAAAAAAATAAAAAAAACTCAATTTTTAGAAAATTTAAACCAAATACATTGATTATTTTTTTACACAATTATCAAACAACAATGATAGAGACCACTAATTTTAGAACTCTAAAAAGACCACTAATGACATGGCACTCAATAAAAAAAGAAAAAAAATACAACATCAATGCCAAAACATTAAATCATTCCTGGTAGGGCCCACTGCCACATCATTAGTGATAGCACTAATTAGTGCTCTCACTCATTTTCCATTATCAAAATAGGATCCATGAAAAGCCAATTTACACTCATTGAATCCAAATATATTCTATCAAAAGGCGTCCAAAATTTTAGTAAAATATTTTGTATTCTTAACATTACTCAAAAATCATAGGCCAAAGTTTTGGTCTAGTTTGGCCAGCCAATCCATAAATATATGGGTAAATTACTAATATGTCGTAATAGTTAGACTTAATTTCTATCAAATCTTATTGAAAATAAGTTCTAATAAAATTATTGTTAAAAATAATTTTTTATGATAATTTTTTTCATGTCGTTAAAAATTGACAATTAGTGACTGTTTTTTTGTTACGATTTTTATAAATTGTCTCTAAAATTTACAATTAGTGACATTTTTCTGTGACAAAATTGTCAAATTGTAGCTGAAAGTTGAAAATAAGTGACTTTTTTGTGACTTTTTTTTTAAATGTCAAAGTTTTTAAACTGTTATTGAAAATTAACAATTAGTGACACTTTAATAATATTTGATGAAAAAAATCATTAATTATCATAAATTTAGGGATATTTACAAAAAATCCTATCTCACAAATAAGTACTCCAATTAGTCCTAAGTTTTTTCT